CTCAAGCTGACTTGACTCTAAGAGTTCTACATCACATGACGGCTGATTGACAAATGGTCCAGTTGGACCTAAGGCTCCTTTTATAGTGCGCCTTTGTGTTTAAGTCAGCTAGTATTTTCTTTTCATCTGAAACTTAGGACTGATGGCTCTGAGAATATGCATGAACACCTCTGTTGACCTGCTGATCATAGTTCCCAACAATCTGTCTTTCTCCTCCTGATGCTCTACTTCAATGATCAATTGTTTTGTTTGTCCCCTTAAGTTTAAACTGCTTCCTCAAGTCTTTGTTGCGATTCTGAAGGAGAAGGTCAACCACAATGTTTCTTCCGGGGCCACCTGTCCAATTAGCGGTAGATGCCAATCCACGGTTATGTGCTTCTGCATCAGTAAGAAACACCTCAATTTCACACAGGACAACACTTATAAGCATTTCAATTGCAGAAGAATTGAAACCAGGGAATGATTTGAAAATATTGTACCAAAACCTCATGCAAAGTTGCAAGCCTTGCACCATTTCCTTCTCTGACAACATCCTGGAAGTTAAGGAGAAGGAAGAAATACTTAAGAATGCACATTGAGTAATTGTGGATCTTCATCTGTTCTGGAATCATGTTGAACAGGATCTTGGGTAGGTTGTAGAAGGAACTGACCTGTGAATTTGTCTAGCACGGAGTGCATGATTATAGACCTGCTGGTTGTTTCCCACCTCTAACATGTAGTGCGGCAGCCTGTTCGAAGTTGGCTGACAGTTCTGGTCAACCATGACAAAAAACTCTAGCAATGCTTCTGCAGTACAACACCTACCAATGCTAAGAAACAACTGCTGGCAGTCCTCATAATGATTTACACATTGATCGAGTGACATTTCTTCTCTGCATTTTTTCAATGAAGTACTGCACTGTGCCCATTACTGCCTTGTGCCCATTACTGCAACGTGCCCATTACTGCATTGTGCCCATTACTGCACTGTGCCCATTACTGCAATGTGCCCATTACTGCACTGTGCCCATTACTCCAATGTGCCCATTACTGTATTGTGCCCATTTCTCGAACAGAATTATTGTAAAGCCTCCTTAAAAACAAGCTGAAAAAGGAATACCGCTCATATATATATACTGCATAAGATACATTATAGGTAGACCTCTTACTTTTCTTGTCATTAGGAACTGGTCAAAAAGTTTTGGGCTCCTGGTTAGGGGTAGGTAGTCTAATTTTCAGCTACCCATGGGGTGGGTTATCCTGTTTTATAACAGGAATTGGCACACATTTAGAATAAAATTGTTTCTGAAATTGGATTTTTTCAATAACGCTACCGAACTATTTTCTAATTTGACCAATTATATGGCAATGTTACACTCAGAAATAATCACCCTCTGTGAGTAATACTGTATTCACTTTCTGCATCCAACTTAATTAGTGACATCCCTGGAAGACGATCAGCCCATACAAAAGTGGCAGTGGAGCTGTTCTCTTTTCTGGATTTTGGTCCAACAGGATCATCTGAGACAGACCTGTGAATACCGTTGGACAAAGGGTTTGGATTTCTTTTATGATCTCCAAACAATTTAGCTTTCTCAAGCCAAGATATCCCCTTGATCTAAGAACCAAGTTCATCCCTCTTCTTGTCACTTCCACTAACTCTCTGTCAACTTGGTTCCTAAGGCTTGACAGCATCTCAGTTCCATAATCTGTCTTACTAGTGCTTGTTGTCTATGTAAAATTTTTGTCCAGGTAAAGGTTATTATAAAAAATATCTCCGGCAGCTGTAAGTTTATTTGTGATTAAATGAACACTGGCACGTCAAACTATGTAAACAAAGGAAAGCGAACAAGTATGTGCATGCATGCAATTGTGTACACATGCATATTTTTCCTCTTCTGAAGTAAATAGGTACTAGTAAAAAGATTGCGGTTAAACGAGCACGAAAAAAATGTGTGTACAAATTCACCTGGTCTTGGAATGAGGAAGAGGAATGTTATGTTTTTCTGTCAAAAAAGAAAGTTTTAAGGAAAGACATATTAGTGAGGGCATGTTTTTCCATCCATTGTAGGATCATGTGAAATGGCATTTGTTCTTTCAGATGTAGAGAGGGAAAGGTGCATCTGGTGAGGCATTTTTTTCATTTTATGTTTATTAGTTAATTTTGCAACACAAATAATTCTTGAAAAATTATTTCAAGGCTTAAAACTGCCATTTGAAATGTAAACCAAGAAGGAGAGTGCTACTTTTACAGAAGAATGATTACTTTTAACCACAACTGTGTGTTTAGCTTACAATTTAAATGTTCACAAAATTTCAGAATAATATACTACTCAATAGAGATATTCTGTAACCACATGACTAAAATACCTTAAAAATGACAGTTACAAAACTTATTGTTTAAACTGCAGATACTTGAAACTCCATCTCCCCCTCCCCCTGTATGAGAAGATTTAGGTAAGTTGCCAGCTTTAGAATAATATTTCCCTTTTCTTTCATAATGCTATAATTCCACAAAATGCCATGCATCTGTAAACAATTTTTAGTCATTGCTCTTTATATTTGTAAGAAGTGGGAATAG